CTAAAACAATTCAATCGTGGTAAGAAACCCGCATCTTACGAACATTATATTTGTAAAAACCACGACAGTTTAAAGTTATATGTCTCTAGATTCGTTAAGCTATTTGTAGATAGGAGATATGTAGTAACAAACATCCATCCAACCAAAGTTTTATTCATATTTACCTCTATATTACAGACAAAATATTCAGAGAACTCAAAGAGTTGTATCTGAAAAAATTGACAACTTCAAATATCAATTAAACATAAATGCGACATGTTTAAAAACATGTGAAATTTATATATAAATGTTATTAATAAACTACCTTTCGCCCGCGATTCCTTCCGCGTGAAATTAACATAAAAGTAAGTAGCCTATGTGTTCTTCCAAAGTATGCTCTACATCTATTCGAAATGATATCCAAATCCGATCAGCAGTTTAGGCTACAAACTGTAATAAATATCCATCCATCCATCTATAGATCTAAACTCTTACATTTTTATTATTAGTAAGAACATGGGATATCTTCTCTATTCGCATATTTCGCATTTTAAATATTTCAATGTGAATAAAAATACAAAAGCTTCGTGGTACTTTAAATAATTATAAAAAGTAAAAGTTTAGATCATCATCATCCACTTGCCCTTATCCCTTATGGAGGGTCGGCACAGTATGTGCTGCTCCATACATCTCTATCAGCCGTCATATCTGAATCCACTCCTTTCTTAAGCATATCCCCTTTCACACAATCCATCCATACTTTCTTCGGTCTTCCTCTTCCTTTGTAGCCATCCACATTCAATCTTAACACTTTCTGGTTTATGTCCTTATCATTTCGTCGTATATCTATAAAAAAGTAAAAGTTTAGATACCGTTTTATTTAACTGACCTCAAGAAATGCGAAGTCTTATTCTTTTTTCATAATTCCTATATCTTACTACGATCGGAGAAAGTAGTATTGTTTCATTATCGAAGCAGAAGTTAAAAGATTTTGCAACTACCTCTATTTCTTAATATAATAATATTATTTCTATTGATAATATTTATTTGGAAATCGTATAATATACTGTTAGTATATTTTGTGATAATACAAGCAGGAACAAAAATGTCTAGATTAAGTTTTCTGATTATAACTACCTTTGTCAGTAGAATTTCGTAAATTTTATTCATGTTTTTAGATGATTTTAACGTCATTTTTCAATGATTCGTTTAATAAGTAAATTAATTGATTTATTTTTTAATCAAATGATGTGTTAGTAAAGCTTCTCTTTGAAGTATCGATTGCATTTGTTTTAAAACGCCAACAACGTATCTGTTCATTTGATATTGCAGATGTCCATCGTCCATGATTTACTAAGAATTGGAACTACATAGATTCAAGTGTACGAATAGTATTTTTTTTAATAAGTAGACCATCGCACTCACTGAACATTTACTTTTGAGTTTGCAAGCATTACGTTTAGTAGTTTAGTTATTGGTTAATAAAAATTATATACAAATAACTTTTGTTAACGACTACGTCCGCATTGAATTAAAAACTAATATTATAGTAAATATAGTCTATATCACATGGGAATAATGTAGTTTGCGAACAGTGGAAGAATTTTTGAAATCGGTTCTGTAGTTTTGAAGCTTATTCATTACAAACAAACAAATCTTTCATCTTTACAACATTTCTAATATACCTATAAAATTCAGGATCCACGCTTCTTAATATTGGTTCTCCTAAGCGGAAAAAAAGACATAAAATTATTACATTATCATCTTTGTAACTTAAATAAAACAGAAAAGACATTTTTTTTGTAGAATTAATTTACCTTAAAAAATTTACGTTCATGCATTTCACAATACCATTACCTTTTTTACTGCAAAAACTTATTAAAGCAAACAAACAATGTTTTATTGACAAACAGTTAATCCGATTATTCAACATTGAATTCGATTCGATAACAAAAATGTTACAATAACACATTTAGTAACACTTTCTTCAAACAAATTCAAGTGAAATTCCCACTTTTTATTCTCAATTCAACTTATTTGAAACTAGCGGCATTTTACTGCATTGCTCTTTTTAACAATCCCATCTATTCTTGTTCGATTTTTCCACTTCGTTTGCTATAAAATAAACTAACACCGTTCAAATTGCATCAGTCAACTTCGAACATCGATGGAAATGTATCAAAATTGAACAATAAGAGTGAAGTGATAACCATGTTTAAAAGTTTCCTGGCAACTGCAGCCTTTGTGCTATGTGTGTACCGTATAAACTGTTCTATAGAAGGAACTACGTCAAATGAAATTCAAACAGAAAAGACGAACACAAGCGAAAGAACTGGAAGATCATTAAATAAAGAATGCAATAATAGTTTGAACGCAAAATGTATAAAAATCCACGTACTGTCGTTCTTGGAAGATCTAAGTTCGAGGGATGAGTTAACATTGTTACCAGGATTGAGTATTGTAAAAGAGAACTACACATCGAATACGAGTCCTGAAGAAATGGCGGCGGAGTTATCCCGTCAATTCCCTGGAAAACCAGAGGAGAAATTAAATCGGTTTCTGATTTACCGTTTGCAGGATTATTTGGATGGTCACTCTTTGAGGTATAAGTTACTGGATCCGAAGACTTCGCAGGAGGCGTTGGATATGGCTAATGGGGAAGAGTCAGTGGGGAGGAAAGGAGGTGGAGGAGGTTTGGGAGGTGGCGGCAAAGGAGGTGGCGGTGGTGCTTTACTCGCTGCTGCTTTAATGATGAAAGGTAGGTATAGTTTGAAAGTAGTAAAACTATTTTGATAAAGTTAAAATAAATAGAAAGTGTTTATCAAATGTTACTAATCTTAGATTGTAATGATTTTGTCAAAAGTGTGTTTTTGTATATAGGAATATAATAACCAAAAACATGTAGAAGTATTGAGAACCTTCTCTGAGAAGTTAAATATGGATTTATGAAAAATTTAATGAGCCACTTTTGCTACATTCGCTGGCCTTGGCCATGTAACTACAACGATCTAGTTTATAAAATGTATTATAATTTAAAAAAAACAATGTGATTTTTACACCACTTTTGTGACACGCCTGATGAAAAATTTCGGCAATTCTTTCAAAGCTAGTTTACATTTCCGTTATATCTGTAATTTGTAGTTACAATAAATGATCGTTTACTTATATTTTTCTTGTTTTCAGGTGCTTTAGGTGCTGCTGCTTTGGGGGCGTTAGCATTACTAGCTGGGAAAGCACTTATGACAGCCTTAATGTCACTTCTGTTATCAGCGTTGGTAGGATTAAAAGGTGGCGGTGGTCACAAATCCACTACTTACGAGATCATCACCAAACCAGAGGTCTCTCATCACCATTCCCACAGTCATGAGGAACATCACGAACATGAACACGGTCACCACGGTGGTTATAGACGTGCTTATGACGCTGATTATAACAGCTACATGCCTTACGATAATGTAAGCTAAGTACCAAGATTTCGGTCGGAGTATAAAATTGTTGTTTAAATATTCTTGATGGTATTGTATTTTAAATAAATTATTTCAAACGTAAAGAATTATTCAAATGCTAGGCATTTGTTTATTGAAGTGAATTGTTAATTTTTACAACGTAGTTTTATATAAAATTTTACTCTTAAGTTATTTATTGTATTTATAGTGTTATTTATAATCTAAGATACTAAAATAATCATATTAGATTATATGTGATTTTCATTTGTAAATATGTTCAGAACTTATACCAAAAATCTTTCTTTATAATGTTTTATTTAGCTTTTTATTTTGCTTTTTATGACATTATATTTTATTTTATTATCTACTCTTATTTATATGCACGATACTTCTTTGCCCACCGTATATTTTTTTTATTTTTATTTTCATATTGCAGTATGCGTAACTGTGATAATATATGCTTTTTAATTAATTTAAATAAAATATGTATTTGCACATGTAAAATACTGTAAGAGTATATTATAAAAAAATTAAATAAACGTATTTTCAAGTGATGTGTTGACTTTTTTAAACCAATTCATATAAAAAAGAAAATCTATCGAACCTTGAGGAGTAAATAAATTGGAAACACCGTCCTACGAAAGGGACAAAAATTACAATCCAATAACAGAAGCAAGATTGATATCTGTATTCTGTACTAATATGATAAAGAGTAAACATTTGTATTTGTATTAATAACTCCAAAACTACTGGGTCGATTTTAAAAATTCTTTTACGATAAAAAAGCTAAGATACCTATTTTTTTCTTCAATCTCACACGGACGAAGCCACGAGCAACAACTAGTCCACCTATACTAATATAATAAAGCGTAAACACGCATTACTTTGTGGCGTAGAATGTCAGCAACCAGAGAATGTTTTTGAATAATTATTTCTTTAATAAAAAGCCCTATATTTACGTCACGCTTTAGGCTATATAAATTGAAGAACCTTCATCTGGAAGAGGGACCTAAACTACAAGCTGCCAATATTAAGTAAGCAAGGTTATTATGGTAATGGTTATTTTTATGCTATTGACAATTTGACAAATGTAAACAAAAAAATAAAGTTTTTATAATTCCATGCGGATAAAGCCGCATAGGAACAGCTATTTAAAAATAAAAAGAAAGATTATAACGGAACATCTCATATACCACATGTTATAAATATCCGCTATGGAATTCTCAGAGTGAAAGATTGTATTGATAAAACGCTTTCAGTTCATTATAATGATGATAAGCGAGCTGGATAATCTTTTGGAAAGTATACTGTAATACACATTAGCTACTCGTATATCAGACGATCTGTGTGCGAGGAAATCGCATACCGATTTATCTACACGCTTATGGTTAGCAGTAGATTTTTCCTAAAGAATCACTAATTCAAGATATTGTTATAAGTTTTAATAAATGTTTTAGCAATAGAAACGTGGACTTTCTGCCTTTTTATTCTATCGTAGATAATAAATTTATTTCGATTTAAATTGTCTAATTTAAATTAATATTTTAGAATAAAATTGTTTGTATTATTTGATTTACAAATAAATTATGTGGTTCTCTTAAAATTACTTATTAATTTCTTTTAAAATAAAAACATCTCACAACAATCTTGTGAACATTTTGTATAATTCTAATTTACCCCTGTCCAAAAATAATAGCAATTATAACGTTTTAAAAAATAGCTTAAAAATTTCGAAGGTTCATATTGACTTGACTAAAATAGTGTTAATTTCAATTGGAAAGATCTTTGTTTTAATACCTTAATTAAAACCAAGATCTTAGTGAAATGATTATCAGAGTAACGAAATGTCTGTAACAGTTTTAAAGATAGGCAACGCAAAGCCTTGCAATGTACAATAGGAAATACCAATGCGATGGACAGCGGTGGCTTCACATTTCGGCGACATCAAGAGAACGCGTGCTCGTTTCCAAGTTTTAATATTAAAATGCACCATCTATCGACAAATTGTTGAACTTTGTAGAATCAGAACAGCTGTCATATTAAAACTAAAACATTTTTTCAAATTTGCACGATAGATGGCACTATTAGAAGTTAACATAAATTTTGAACAAAATTTAAAATAATCGAATTGTTTTAAACAATAAATAATGGTCTGAATAATGAAGAAAGATTGTTTTATATACAAAAATTGATAATTTATGCTTTCTTATAATCCCTGGATTTTAAGCATTATATCATTTCTGTTAGGCATACAATTATAGACAAAACAATAAAATAAAACTAAAAACTAAAAAATTTTTGTTCCGATTTTTAAATTTTGTATTTATATAGTGTAATTACAAAGTTTTACTAACATCCGATATGGTCTAGTGGCTAGGATACCTGGCTCTCACCCAGGAGGCTCGGGTTCGATTCCCGGTATCGGAAATCTTTTTGCCTTTTTTTTTTTAATTCTACAAAAAGCTTCAATTGTTTCGTTAAAGCACAATTCTATCGATATGATTTTTTTTAAAATAAATATGAAATACAAATTCCAATAACACACAATGGCTGACTTTATATATTATATTAGTATAAGAAACTTAATTAGAAATAATTTAACTAATACTCAATATTAAAAAGATTTTAACTTATCAGAATGGCTTCATCTTCAAATCCTTATCCTTCAGATAACTCTATCATCCGTCATCTGTCATCACTCTCTTCTTGAACAACTCCTTCAATACAATCCATATCTTTCCAGGTCTATGTTTAATGGATTATGAGGAAAAATTAAGAACTAGGTCAAGGGCTGTATGTAATTATTGTCAGACGGATCTCGGAAAATGCCATCTAAACTTGACTCATTTATAGTGACCGCGTGTTTACTAGCTGTCGCTTTCAAAAGGCCCGGTCGCACTGTTTTAGAAGTTAAACTAGATTTAACTTAGATTAAATGAAAAATCAATTTTTCACATCATCATCATCACCAGCTCACTATAGGTCCTAACCGAGGGGCTCAGAGCCTACCTTAAGTATGGGGTGACTAGGCCATAGTCAACCATGCTGGCCCACGGCGGGTTGGGTTCTTCCTTTTTAATAAGTATATATGTTAACGGAAATGTATGAAATCCGTCATTGTACACAATTCCTAGGCAATGTATAACTCCTAAAATCGCTTGGATTTATAAAAAAACCACAAATGCTATGTAACACTTTCATTCATAAAAAACATTGTTTTCATACCTTGCTTATTGCGATTTTGGAATTCCACACAATTTCTAGGAAATTTGTAATTATCAGGATATGTGTGTATTTTAAAATCTTTGAAACATTTTACACATAGACAAAACAGCTCCGAAATTATTTACTTTTCCTAGACAAAGTATAAAATTCCTAATTATCACACATTTCCGGTAACATATATACTACTAACTTTTGCTTGCAACTTTTCCCGCGTGTAATTATTTAAAAAAACTATAATAAATATAGCCTATGTTACTGACTGATAACGTAGCTTTTTAATGGTGAAAGAATTTTTGAAAGCGGCCCAGAAACTTTTAAGTTATTTTGATACATACAAAATACAATTCTTTAATCTTTATATTTTCTAGTTAAAAAGTATAGATTATTCCCTTTTCAAAGATTCTTCGGAGACATATCATCTTTGCATTTTCCTCTAAATCCTGTATTCAAGAGGTAATTTTTTTTAATAAGAATCATAAGTAACTACTATATTGCTTTGCGACTTATTTCAACTGCTAATATTGTACAAAACATACTATCTTCCATTTATAGTTAAACTTTCGTTTAACAATACGGTGGAAATCGGCTTGCACATTCGGTCAAAGACCTAGATCTTCAACTGGCTCTTGAACACGGTTTGGCAAATGATAGGGATGTCCCTAACAAACTCTCGATATCGATAATTTTACATTTACAGATATTCTTCATAAAAAAATTATATTGAACGTGAATACCTGGCTAAAAATGTATTACATACTAGCATTTACCCGCAACTCGTAGTAAAGTAGTAAAGTAATAAATTAATAAGTAAAGAACTTAAAAAGGAAATTTAAACGGAATAATTCTTCATGTAGAGTTCATATTTTTAACTTTTTTTTTCAATTTCATTAAGCACAGGAAAATTAGCCAAAGAGATATACTTTTAAAAAAATCTTAATCTATCTTTATATATGCTATACTATATCTATACTATTATAATAAAGCGTAAACACACACTACTTTGTTGCGTAAGATGTCAGCAATCACTTCATATTTTTTAATAATCCTTTCTTTAATAAAAAGCCCTAAACTTACGACACGCTTTAGGCTACATTTCTTCCCGCTATTTAACTTAGGGGATAAATCAATTGGAAAAATACCTTCATGTAGGAAAGAGAACATAAACTACAAACTGACAACATCAAGTAAGCAAGGTTGCCATGGTTTGTCATCATATTATGTCATTTTGACATTTGCAATTGATAATTTGACAAATATAAGCAATGAAATAAAAAAAATAATGTCATACGGATGAATCCGCACGGGGACAGCTAGTTATCGATAAGAAAACCACCCATCCCCAGAGTTTCCAAGAGGTGCGACAGAGAGGCCCACCTTTCATCGCCCCTCTTACAACTTACCTCATCTAACTTAGTAACTTACCCGATAGCTCGGACGGAGCATGTGTTTCAAGATTAACTTAACTTGACCTCTAATTATAGCCTACATACGCGTGTAAACAATAACATTACTTTTTTTTCTATTTTTTTAATTTGTGGTTTTGTGTTTTTTTTCTGGAAGGCAAGGATAAAGGTAATTATAATTATTTATTGATTGATTATCACAATAATTTCTTAGAAACCTGTAAGCAGCCGTGTTTTATCTAGGTTGAATATATTTCTTATTAATATATGGAAGTTTCTCTTTAACATTAATGGTATATTTATATTATATTAATACTAGCTTTCGCCCGCGACTCCGTCCGCATGGAATTAAAAAACAAAAGTGAGTAGCCTATGTGTTCTTCCAGACTATCCTCTACATCTATGCCAAATTTCATCGAAATCCGTTCAGACGTTTAGGCTACAAACTCTAACAAATATCCATCCATCTATCCATCCATCCATCTAAACTTTCGCATTTATAATATTAGTATGATTATATTACTTAGACGTTATTATTATTAAAATTTATTATTTGATGTTTTACTATTTTTATGACGAATAATATTTTTATAAGAGTTGTATTTAGCATGTTCTTCCACATCTCTAGCAGGAAACGGATTTGGGCGGCAGGGGGGGGGG